GCCCGCATCCGACACGGACAAGGAAATCGCGGTAATTAATGAGTCGAACGCGAAGTGTCAAACCATCGCCGCAGCAATTAAGACCCAAGCGATGGCTACAGGAGTGGATAATTATATTACGCATGCGGATGACCGCTACGAACTATAAATATCGTGCAATCTGCACATGACTCAGATTTACCTACCATTACCTATGATTAAGGATCCCGACGGGATCAGAAACATCAGGAAAATAAAACTCTTTTTCCCGTGGTCGCATCTTTTTCTGAAAAGTACGAGCGTTGGAGAATCAGGAATAGCAAAACATCGGTATTTTAAATGAGTCTGGGCCATCTGAGTCATCTCAATTTGCAAAATCTTATTTCCACAAAATGCACACTATCAGAGGTACTTGAAAGCATAATCCGGCGAAAGTTGGTTGTACTCGCTCTGCCCATTTTTGTGAGTTAGTGAGTCAACTATGACACAACCTTACAGTAATCTAATTGGGCAATTTACTAATTAAGCGAACCTTCCCACACTTTTGAAGAATGTTCATTTGGCTTCTCAGAAGATTGTGAGCACTAAGAATGCACCCGGTAGAGCAGATGGCTGCAACCAATTGTGTTGTCCTAATGAAGTGAGGTTAAATATTATGCCCAACATACTATGGAGAAAACTCGCACATGATTGGGCGAACACTGATAAAAACTAACTTAATATCGGAGTGAGTTTGCTCCTGTTGCCGATCAGTGCCGACAGAGCCCTAACTGCCCGAGTTGCGCCAATGGGGCTGTCTGTCTAAGGATTTGTCATTGCTCCTACGACGCTTGCCTGCTGCAGAAATAAGCCCCACTAATGAACAAAGATGTGCACACCGTGCCTACTGTAACTGACAGCAAGGAAAGACTAACGGGCACGCGACAACTCTGTCCACTCTGATTAAAGGTGGCGTAGTCCTCATGTTGTGGGCAAGGGGGGGGGGCGGAGGCGGAGCGAAGGAACTCGTAGGGATTTAAAGTGAGCCAATGAGAATTGACGAATGGCAACACTGCAGAGGCCGCTCCAATACCATAGTGTGTTTAGCGCAACAAAAAACGTGCAGCGAGGATCTGAGCAGCACTAGCACGAGCGATCTCCGATCAACGGAATAACTGCACGTCACCGTCGTACCGCTTAGCAGCGGGAGGGCGAGTGTGGACTGGGATGAAAACGCCCGAAGTTGGCGGCCAGAGTGACTTTCAGGCAGCTTGTTTGAACAAACAGAACAACTGGCAGTCCTGATACCCCCGAACACGACACCTGGCCCACACTTATTGGCATTATAAAGTTATTGTACTCATGCGGACCATGTAGAAAACTCCCGTTGTTAGGGGAAATTAATTGTTAAGATTTCATCAATCATAAGGAACTCAAAATGCAGTGTCTAGGATCAGTTTAATCAGTACGCAAAGCGTGTTTCCTCCTTCTTTGCTTTAAAATGGAATCGTTATTAATATAAATAGACCAACCAACTGGCATAAATGGGTGTTCTGTATTCCGTGAACAAACTGCACGGTCCAAATTCCGTGAAAGCAGGCCTAGATAAGGATTACTTACAACAACACCACGGTGACAATAGAATGCGGGTTTGTGTAATACAGGGCCAGTGGTAATAGGGGTTGTATGGGCGGAGCATATCAAGGAGAAGGAAAATAAATAAAAGCAAAATAATAAATTAATAAAACTAAGCTTATCTGACCAAACCAAACTAAAACAAATAAAACCAAATAACAAACTAATAACTACACTAAATAATAAACTACAACGAACTAAGTAATTAGTCGTGTATAGTAAACTACGGTGTTGTTTATAAGGAATCCTTACTCGAAGATATTTTGCGCGAGCATTTCTTACTCGAAACGGTGATAAGAATCACCAGGATGACTGCTTATGCTAATCTTGCGAAAATGTTCTCGTCCTTTACCCGAAGAGAGGACGTCGGGGGCGTCAGGAATTGAAAAAAAACACAACCTCTTTAACTGTACCAAGTGCCGAGAAGGAAGACGGTTTATTTACAGAGCCCAACAGTCCCTCTTTCGCGAGTCTCTTGTGTGATAAAAAAGATGAGCGAAATGGTTATCTGAAGAAAAGAAAATGTCTCAGAGTATCCCAAAGAAACAAACTAGGCTATAGTCTCAGTACGAATGAGGAGAGTCTGCAGACAATGCGAGCAAATAACGCGCAGCCGAAGGATGTGTCACCCGAACAAGAAACCTTCGTAAACGGGAAACCAGGCGGTAGCTATGCCATGACAAATGTCTTTGAATCAAACGATGATGACAACAGAAATTGGCAAGATGTGATCTGTGTGTATAAAAAATGACAGGACCCTCTAATTGATTGCAGCAAGTGCATTGTCATAAAGGGTATGTCTGAGTGTTTCACACACCCAAATAACAGAATAGGTCATGATATGGAATTATTCCAGCAATACCTTCCACCTTCCTTAAATGAGAATGAGCTCGCCGCCTTAAAAGCCTTTAGGCCCCAATCAAATGTAACTGAAAAGAGGCACCTTAAAATCGCCATTTTTTTAAACCTCCGCAGCCCTTCGCTCATTGCCTCGAGGCGAAAAAAATGGCAACCTGATTTCCATTTGCCATAAAAATAACTTTTGAAGACATAGATAAAGAGCTATTTGGAAAAGTAAACGGTGCCTTTATTCGTTAGCCAAGGCGTGCACCTCTGGCTGAAAAGATATTATAAGTTTTTGGGAAGGATTCAAAGAATGGCGTAAACAGTGTGAAAGGTATACTTTCACGTACGAATACAGACTTGATGCGCTTGACCTGTTTCCCTTTGACAACAGACAGATCCGAGATGCCGTACAGACTTGTAAGGAACTGAGAATTTGACGATTTCTCTAGATGGGCCACAACAACAACAACTCGGCGTGGGAAGTTCTTCAAACTTCGAGAAGCCTTATTTCACCTAAATTTTCGCATACAGTAGTCGCCGGTTATTAAGCCTACGGTTTATAGGCCCAGCCGCGTACGCCCAAATCAGCTTGGGACGGAATTTTACATAGCAAAATCCGCCGGCTAATACCCAAATCAGCTTGGGACGGAATTTTACATAGCAAAATCCGCAATAAGTCCAGTCGCCGGCTACAAAGCCCAGTTTGCCAACAGGATAGAGTGATATTCTCATCTCTCTGCGTGCGCAACGATTTCTGGTGCCTGGAGAAGGACATCAAAGAGTACTTGCGAATGAAGTTTCTTCCAAAACAACTGACAATA